GAAAGTCCAACTTAAGATTTAAAGAATTAAGCCCATTTACTACAAAAAGTTTGTCAATTTAAGCCCTTAAAATACATTTAACATAAAAATTTAAGAATGAAAATACATAAGCTTAGGCAGTAACATGTGATTCCTAAGGGCGAGGCAATGGGATAGGATTGATGAGCAATGATAATATCCGATGCCTCATTACATCATCTTGAGAGCTATGGCCATCTCCATATTTGTACATAAACTGTGCCATTCTTGCAGAGTTTATTGCAGCTTCAATCAAATTTTGAGGGAGAAGAGATGACTCAAATTCATCTTTGTTCATCTTCTTCCATGTTTTGTCAATCAAATCTTGCATGTATTTACGAGCATCTTCTTCTGAAACTCCAGTTTCATGCATGTAACATTGAATGGATTTTGAAACATCACCTCTTCTCTTTTCATCCTAAAAAAAAGGATTGTAAGTCATGCAAAAACAACTCAAATCAAGAAGCAAAATGAGATAAAGGGTAAATACCGATGATGTTCCCAAATCATCTGCAAGCCTGAATACCATTGATGAACAACGGATTATATTGGGCAATTCTTTCTCTAAATATTGCAGGACCTCAGTTGTTATGTGATTTGAAGAAAGAATATAAGCATGCAACAATACTAAAGGTGCTGATATTGAAACGACTGCATTATCAATGTACTCTTGCAAAGATGGTGTGTATCCTTGGTTGTACCATTTCGCCTCTATCAAGTAAGTTTTACATAAATCTAGCCACTAGGAGAAATTAAGATTGAAAGAATTAGTTAGAGAAAACAAAGACAAAGTCATTCAAGTCAAGAATTATGTAACGATACCGCTTTCTTTGAGTAAGGAACGATGTTTATTCCTTGTTCCTGAAAAATGTCCGAGGCAATTTGGTTCATAGAGTTGTGCAGCGCAAAAAAGCATAACTTCATATAGTTTGGGAGCTGCTCTGTTGCATTGATATCCCATCTGAAATCCGATAGAACAATTGAAGCATGAAAGAAATTATTAAGTTCAAATAAGAGCCACTACTAAGCACAAACCTTTCAATGGCATCAGTAAAAAGTTCAAGTTCATCCAAGGTTCCATATACATCATAAACATCATCTATTGTTGTTACTAGTGCAACTACTTGTGCGGCCATTCTTCTAAAATATCCATACTGAGGTTGGAACAATACTCCAGTAGTCCATAAGAAATTCTCCATCAATCTGTCCCTGATAAACCCCAAATTTTGTCCAAGACCTGTTCTCTTCCACCACCTAATTTGTGCAAAGAAAAATTACTTTTCACATCATGAGATTCTTTTCTTTTTTTTTTTTTTCTTTCTAAAGGTTTAATTTGTATTTGTTAAGGTAATTAAAGTTATTGAACATCTTACATTGATGCATGTTTTAGATCTTCTTGGTGCATCGCTTGCACCTTGTTGAAATCCAGCTTGGCAAGATCAAGCAAGAGGGGATTCATATCTGGACTTCGTTGATAAACCTCAATGAACCATCTTGCTTCCATCCTTGGCATTCCCCAACGGAGTGGAAACTCCAGTGCATGCTCCACTAGTTTTGAAAGGTAAGGATTTTTGCCTTCGTTTAACTTGACATATTCACTAAGATACTTTCTCGCGAAAGTTCTAGCTGCATCCAGTGTGCTTTCACCTTCTAATGAAAGGAATGAAGCTTCATACAAATATAGCATTCCTTTGCAATCCTTGTTGAGAGAAGCCTTGAAGTTTCCACTCTCATTTAAGAAACTGTTGAATATCTCTGCAAACAAATACAAGATTTGAGTAGTTTTCCATCAATCAGCCGTTTGATAAATTTACAACATAAGAAAATTTGAGATTGATTACCTTGAGGTACTCTGTACCCATGTTGTCTTAAGATTCCAAATTCAAGCGCAGCCATGTATAAACTCTCTCTCTCAAAGCCATAAGAATAACCTTGATTATTTGTGTATACTTTCTCCAAAATTCTGTTGATTTCATTCTCAAAATGGTAAGATAATCCAAGCCTTTGCAACGTATCAATGAGCTCGAGTTGTTGTAAAGGAACCTTGTCCATCTCTTTTTCTTCTAGTATCACCATAACATCTTCCTTCAACTTGTTGATGCGCCTTCTGAATGATTCTTCCTGCTTAATTAATTATATATTAAATGTTTTGTTAAAAAAGAATATTAATTAAGCAAAACTATACGTACAACGAGTAAGGATTACTGTATACCGTACCAGGTAATCAGTTTTCAGAGACTGAATGTCTTCAAAGCTCCAGATAGGAGGCTTGTAATCTGCAGATCTCCTCATAGTGAGCTTATTTGAC